GTCACCCTGTAATAAGGAGAGAGAACAGCAGTGACCAGTCACCCTGTAATAAGGAGAGAGAGCAGCAGCGACCAGTCACCCTGTAATAAGGAGAGAGAACAGCAGTGACCAGTCACCCTGTAATAAGGAGAGAGAGCAGCAGCGACCAGTCACCCTGTAATAAGGAGAGAGAACAGCAGTGACCAGTCACCCTGTAATAAGGAGAGAGAGCAGCAGCGACCAGTCACCCTGTAATAAGGAGAGAGAACAGCAGTGACCAGTCACCCTGTAATAAGGAGAGAGAGCAGCAGCGACCAGTCACCCTGTAATAAGGAGAGAGAACAGCAGTGACCAGTCACCCTGTAATAAGGAGAGAGAGCAGCAGCGACCAGTCACCCTGTAATAAGGAGAGAGAACAGCAGTGACCAGTCACCCTGTAATAAGGAGAGAGAGCAGCAGCGACCAGTCACCCTGTAATAAGGAGAGAGAACAGCAGTGACCAGTCACCCTGTAATAAGGAGAGAGAGCAGCAGCGACCAGTCACCCTGTAATAAGGAGAGAGAACAGCAGTGACCAGTCACCCTGTAATAAGGAGAGAGAGCAGCAGCGACCAGTCACCCTGTAATAAGGAGAGAGAACAGCAGTGACCAGTCACCCTGTAATAAGGAGAGAGAGCAGCAGCGACCAGTCACCCTGTAATAAGGAGAGAGAACAGCAGTGACCAGTCACCCTGTAATAAGGAGAGAGAGCAGCAGCGACCAGTCACCCTGTAATAAGGAGAGAGAACAGCAGTGACCAGTCACCCTGTAATAAGGAGAGAGAGCAGCAGCGACCAGTCACCCTGTAATAAGGAGAGAGAACAGCAGTGACCAGTCACCCTGTAATAAGGAGAGAGAGCAGCAGCGACCAGTCACCCTGTAATAAGGAGAGAGAACAGCAGTGACCAGTCACCCTGTAATAAGGAGAGAGAGCAGCAGCGACCAGTCACCCTGTAATAAGGAGAGAGAACAGCAGTGACCAGTCACCCTGTAATAAGGAGAGAGAGCAGCAGCGACCAGTCACCCTGTAATAAGGAGAGAGAACAGCAGTGACCAGTCACCCTGTAATAAGGAGAGAGAGCAGCAGCGACCAGTCACCCTGTAATAAGGAGAGAGAACAGCAGTGACCAGTCACCCTGTAATAAGGAGAGAGAGCAGCAGCGACCAGTCACCCTGTAATAAGGAGAGAGAACAGCAGTGACCAGTCACCCTGTAATAAGGAGAGAGAGCAGCAGCGACCAGTCACCCTGTAATAAGGAGAGAGAACAGCAGTGACCAGTCACCCTGTAATAAGGAGAGAGAGCAGCAGCGACCAGTCACCCTGTAATAAGGAGAGAGAACAGCAGTGACCAGTCACCCTGTAATAAGGAGAGAGAGCAGCAGCGACCAGTCACCCTGTAATAAGGAGAGAGAACAGCAGTGACCAGTCACCCTGTAATAAGGAGAGAGAGCAGCAGCGACCAGTCACCCTGTAATAAGGAGAGAGAACAGCAGTGACCAGTCACCCTGTAATAAGGAGAGAGAGCAGCAGCGACCAGTCACCCTGTAATAAGGAGAGAGAACAGCAGTGACCAGTCACCCTGTAATAAGGAGAGAGAGCAGCAGCGACCAGTCACCCTGTAATAAGGAGAGAGAACAGCAGTGACCAGTCACCCTGTAATAAGGAGAGAGAGCAGCAGCGACCAGTCACCCTGTAATAAGGAGAGAGAACAGCAGTGACCAGTCACCCTGTAATAAGGAGAGAGAGCAGCAGCGACCAGTCACCCTGTAATAAGGAGAGAGAACAGCAGTGACCAGTCACCCTGTAATAAGGAGAGAGAGCAGCAGCGACCAGTCACCCTGTAATAAGGAGAGAGAACAGCAGTGACCAGTCACCCTGTAATAAGGAGAGAGAGCAGCAGCGACCAGTCACCCTGTAATAAGGAGAGAGAACAGCAGTGACCAGTCACCCTGTAATAAGGAGAGAGAGCAGCAGCGACCAGTCACCCTGTAATAAGGAGAGAGAACAGCAGTGACCAGTCACCCTGTAATAAGGAGAGAGAGCAGCAGCGACCAGTCACCCTGTAATAAGGAGAGAGAACAGCAGTGACCAGTCACCCTGTAATAAGGAGAGAGAACAGCAGTGACCAGTCACCCTGTAATAAGGATAGAGAACAGCAGCGACCAGTCACCTTGCGATTATCCTTGAGAAATTGAACACGATCGGGTTTTCATATGATAAATCAGCAGTTGATGGGAAGTGAACGATCACAATTACTGTACAACTGGATGAATTTCATCGATCGTCAGGCTGGAAAACTTTTTTCGAATCTAACTAAACATTTTTATTTTTTTTTTAAATCGATGGATTAGTGGCGTTTTTGTACGAAAAAACGAGAAGATATGTTGTCCGCACACCATTCTGCTTCTGAATGTCATTTTTATTCATTTTCCGAAGCAGAATGGTGTGAGGATAACATATCTTCTGCATGTTGTGGCGCCATCCACCAGTTGTTCCAGCACCCATTGGATTCTGGGGTACATCGGCAACGGTGTGCGAAGGGGATATTACAAAGAAATTCGTAGGGGAAAAATTGCAACATGAACACTGCACATGTGAAAACTAAAATCCATTCTGTCGATCGACGGCATTCGGTCAGTTAGTATTGCTAACGAACGATAATTGAAATCCACATTGGTCTGTGCATGATGGGGTATTGGAGTGGATATGGAACGAGGGTGCAATAAGCACACGAAAGGAATGGAAGGATAATCGCAAGGTGTATGGCCACCTTTTAGGAGAGAGCAGCAGTGACCGGTCTTTATTACAGGAAGCTCCTGCACAGAAGCAAACTTTCACACTGGATTACTGCTCAGATCTGGAAAACAAACACCAATCGCAGCAAGATTCAAGGAAGAATATACATGCCTCTTGTATTTAGACACAATTTGCTTATCTTGGAGTTCAGCTTTAAAAATGAATCTGAAACTGCAGTTCTTTCTTTTTTTTCCTCTGTTACATGAAGCCTAACCAAAGGCTCTGTAATGCTTCCTATGTAATTCCTATTGCACATATGTGTTCTCGTTAACAGCCATTTAAAGGCTGTCTTGTGCATCATCTTTTAACCAGTTTCCTCTTTTAAAAGCTTCACGTCTGAAGAGCTGTCAGTCTATGACAACATTAATGTATCGATTTGCACATATTGCTTGCCCTTGCAGGAATTGCTCCGGTCCTCCCATTGCCAAGGGAACGAGCTGCTATATAAGACAGGCAACAATTGTGAAGGCATAGAGAGAGAGAGAGATGCTCTGGATGATAAGAAAGCATTGTCATGAACTGAAAGGTCTATACAGGGAAAAGGGACTGCCTCCACCTGCTTGATGCTGAACAAGCCGTGCCTCTCATCTGAATGACGACTCTCCATTAGCAGCATGCAAAAAGGGGGTGACATTGACTGGACGACCCCTGGAGCCGCCGACGGGGGGGGGGGGGGGGGGTGCTCAGCCTATGATACGGCTGTGTT